GAAACTCATGCAAGTGGGCAATCGAAATGACGTTGCTAATGTTCTGTTTTTGCACGAGCAATCTGAGTTGGAGTCAGAAATGTGAAGATGTTGCTGTGATTCGAGTCTTTCATTTCCTTCTGTCAGGTTCAGAACTTTTAATGTTGAACAATAATTAAAAATGGTGGGCAGCAAAAAAAAAAAAAATCAAGAAAGGAATTAATGTTAAGCACAGTCTGCAAGCAAGGTAACATTTCAACAAGCTTTAAATATGCTTTGTTTCGGTTGTTTGTTTTTTTTTTTGGGGGGGGGGGGGTTGCCCCATTCATGGGACTAAATGTGAGGTGAGAAAAAAGAATGCATGTTGTCATTGATACAAAAGAGCACTATTGTTCTAAAATTAAATAGAAGATTTGCCAGAAATTATTCTGTACATCACATTTTAGATTTACAACTTTTAGCATGTAAATGTATCGGAAGAAACAGAGTTTTTTTCTGTTGTTGTGTGGTACTGTCAATATGTTTTGAGGCAGTGCTAATGCCAACTCCATGAAGACATCAAGTCATCCAAAAAAAAAAAAACTCATTGAGGAAGCTTGTGAAATCAAAACTTCCACCAGCTTGGTGACTATTTTTACAAGTTTTTGACCCAAAGTGTTGGAAACCATTTCTGTGGCAATCAGCATATTTGAAATTTGTACTTACAGGCACTGGCTGGTCACAGAGATGATCACACAGTCAGCAGCCGTTTGATCCTCCTGCACTTGCCTGTAGAATTTCTGGTACAAGGTTTTCCGTCTGTCTGCGGGAGTGTTCTCGGGCTTGGCTGGAGGAGCCACAAGATACAGAGGTGGATGAGTAACGGGGAGGAAACGGGCATGTGGATGAAACCTCAAATGTTGGTCAGGATAATGACAGGAATTTCTGAAATGCAGTGAATCCCTGCATCTTCGCTGTTCGGCATTCAGTTTTTGGGCAACCAAACAGTATCCTCCATTTTAAGTGAAAAACTCAGCTATTTGCTCAGTTTCCACCGAGGCGAAAGCAACTTAAGTGTTCTTTGGCGCCATCTGGTGGAATCTTGGTGTCGTTACATTTAACCAACAGTGTTTGTTTTTCATCTGTGTTTGAAATGTTGGTCAGTCCAGTAATTTTGTGTTTCTTGTCTGCAAATCTGGCACAACCTACAGATACATCGACATTGTTCAGATGCATAACCGTTCAATTAACACAAAAAAGCAATTTCTTGCCGCCGGTCGGGAGTTGAAAAAGAGCTGATTTGTTTCATGTTTGTTGAACAGTTGTGCAGTTCAACAACTTTGATGTAGCTTGAGACAAATCAACACAAAAGAAACCCCAAATGATTCGACTGACATTGCCCTGATGTCCACAGCTGGAATCGTGAGCTAGTTCATCTTGAAGTCAATCCAACCATAACACCGGTCCCACAGGTCACAATGACATTGTCCCATATTGATTTTATTTCACCGATCAGCACGCTGTGTGTCTGTTATTTTCACAAACCCAATTCCAATGAAGTTAGGACATTGTGTTAAACATAAAATCAGAACACAAAGCCCTCTCAGGAAATGGCATTAATGTCTTAAATATCACGCTGAAGAATTCAAACAGTTTTGTTTTGAGTAGTTGAAAAGTCACGCAGAATTAATGTGATTCAAAGACAGCTATAATGTACAGTCACATTTCATGACTTCCAAATGACAGCAACCAGGAATATCACGTTAGGAATATATCTGAAGAACTTTGGGGAATTCTCACCATTGAGCTTTGCACCGTCATACTTGACACTGCCACTGTAGTTTTGCTTCTCCTCCAGTTCTTTGTAACTGAAAGAGAGATGGTAAACATGCAATTAATTATGTGTGTATGAACACAAAGGCACTCAGAAGGGTAGTGTCTTTGTCAATGTCATCATTCATTGAATCTGCAAAATACATTACAACAAACGCAATCCCATTCACTCAAGCGACGTTCTGTGCTGCCATTTTAATCATGCAAGGTTTCTCAGGATATACAGTCAGATTTTTTCCCCCCAATGCATTTCAATGGGTGTCAAATACATATGTAAATTTCCATGACTGGGACATCCGGCTGGCAGTTGCATCACAACGGTCGGTCTGCCCGAGGTGCTTGCCGGCGGGCTGGGGGCGGGTATGTGGAGCAGCATTTCAGTCCATTGATAAAAATATTAAGTCTCAGTTCCCTGACAACATGACTGATCCTCATTGGGAGAATTGAGTTGCACACACCTGTCCAGGGCATCCTTGAGATCTTCGCTCCTCTCCTCCCTGCTTGGATACTGCGCACTTCTCCGGAACAACCTCAACGGCTGGGCGCTGTACCAGAAAATACACATGCATAAATAAATGTTTCATGGTTCCAATTTTAATGGGAATTCTGTAATTTGTAGGGAGGACGCAAATATCTCAAAATAATTCTAATTATATTTTTTAAAAAAGTAATAAAGTAGGTTGATCACTTGGACTTGGCCATTTTATAAGAAGCTCGCATGCTGAAAAAATGTGGGCAACCCTGGCGTAAAGCATAATAATTACATCAAAATCAAATCTTTCGGCCCGACTTGGATGCACCCTTTTGCTCCTTTTATCACAATTTGACAGCCCTCATTTATTCCAAAATCAACTCAATTGTTTTGTAGAGCACTTTCAAACAACCACCACTGCTGCACGTGGAGCAAAAATAAATCATACAACAGCAAACATAGTTAAAACAAATTAATGAAGACACCCCCCCCCACACACACGCGCGCAAATAGTTAACTCAAAAAAACAAGTCTCATCCTGAGTCAAAAGCCAAAGAATAAAAATGTCAAATGAGTTTGAAAGATGGGCAGCATTGGAGCTAAGCGGGAGGTCAACGGAAAAGGCTTGATCCCCTGCTGTTTTGATTTGGCGCTATTGATCCATAAAACAACATTGAATTGAATCGAGCTCCACAAACCTGTCCAGAGCATCCTTGAGATCCTCGCTCCTCTCCTCCCTGTTTGGATACGGCGCACTTCTCCGGAACAACCTCAACGACTGAGCGCTGGATCACAAAATACAAAGGCATAAATCAAATGTTTGGAGATAACATTTTAATTGGAGCTCTGTAATCTGTAGGGCAGACGCAAAGGTGTGAGCGTGCGCGTGAACGTGGCCGTCTGCTTTGTATTAGGACTCCTCAGGAGGATGCTAATGCTAAAGCGAAAAAGGCAATATACCCACTAACCTCCCGTTTGGGTTCCCTTGCTGCAGTCGAGAAGTTTGGGAGGCTTTCGGCCAAGCCGACATTTCAACGAAACCCCAAAGTCCAAAAGCAGCGAGCTCAACAGCCGGTCGAGTAGATAAAATTTGTCGAGTGTTTTCTCCTCTCGCGTGGGCAAACGACAAGCCCAGAGCCTCCAACAGAGACCACGAACATAAGCGAATGGGATCTGATGAACAAGGTGCATTAACGCCACCTACTGGGCTGGAGTATGAGTCAGGGTACGCTTGTGCATAAACACAATACCGTCGTACTAAGGAAGAAACAAATACGATTCATGAACCCTATTTCTCTCAAGAACTAAATAGCACTTTAAACTGATCGATTTCTAAGGCTAAACACCATAAGCATAACCCCTCTCTTTCTTAACTCGACGTAGTTTTGCCCCGCTCCTGTCCCATCATTGACAGGAAAAAAATATGTACAACACTTGTCTTGTTTAACAAACAAAAAAAAAAAAAACAAACAAAACAAATTTAATCTTTAAGTGTGATATTTAATATTTCTCCACTTGTAAGTATGGATATGCATTGTTGTGTCCTACTGGAGTAGGGGGAATGAAAGACCAAAGCAAACGTTATCAGTTTATGCCAACAAACCTTCGGAGAGATGAAAAAAAAAACGGAAGTGTCATTCTCTCTAAAGCAGGGGTCACCAACTTGGTGACCGCGGGCACCAGGTAGCCCATGAGGACCACACCAATAGCCCGCCAGTGCTAGGATTGTGATTTGCTCGCAGAAATTATGATTTAAAAATGCAAACACTGGCAGTATTGTGAGACATCGTTGTGATCAGAGCCTGAAAATTAAAACCATTAAGTATTAAAAGTAACACATTCTAATATTACTAAATGTAATTTGTACAGATTTTATTTCAGACGTGTATCAATTTGGTAGCCCTTCACACAATCAGTACACATGAAGTAGCTCTGACTCTCAAAAAGGTTGGTGACCCCTTTGCCTATTTTCTAATAATGGAAAGGCATGGTTATAATTTATTTTCCTTTCGCTTTGAAAAATAAATGCCCTAAGACTGCTCTGAGCATCCTTTACTGTCCCTAGGTGGCAGACAAGCATTTTGTCGAGGACTTTGGGGCTATATTTTGTATTGGGAATGTACGACATCATATTAAATCACAGCTGAGGTCTTTTTCTACTTGTGAGAAAAACACCTAATTGATTTTGTACAGTTGCCCCAACTAGTAAAGACAAACACAGGGAAACCACAGAACTTGTGTCTTATAATTGAATGTATTCAGATTACAACATCAACTTAAGATCATTTTGTGACAATTTCTAATATATTCATGTATGATAAATACCAATAGGCACTTCCAGAAAGTCTGGCAATATTGAAACCACAGTATAGTGTCTAAATTACAAAAGGGTAAAAATAAATAATGCGTTTCAAGAAGGATTTTTTTTTTTTATTGTTTTAAAATGTCTTTACTGTACAGCATATATTCATATTGTACAAAATGGAGCATCAATGTTCAAAAATCCTGCGTGGACAAAACATGAAGTACGCATCGTAAGTGCAATGAACTGGTGAGAGGAAACAAATGTGTTCTAATAATTGGTCTGCAATATGAAAATAATTAGCAATTCCGCTTATGTTATTTTAAAGCTGGTTTTGGGGCTTGTGATCACAATTATCGTTCGGCTGTGTGACAAGTGAATGACAGGAATGAAGACACACACAAAAAAAAAAACAATATACTGTAACACATTGACTTAAATGTGCTGTCCTCCAACCCAAATTAGTTTAATGGTCTTTGCGATGTGACAAATATGTGATTAAATGTTAAAACGTCAATCGTTGCCACTGAACATGGCTACAAAGCAGTTTCTAGGTCAAAGTGGAAGCACAAGGAGAAATACTGTATGTACACAGGATCTTTGGAGAGCAACTATCTCATCTGAGTTAACTCAGAGGAAGTAACTGAATGCATCACCTTACCAACATTTACTAAGTTCACTGGTTTGCCGTACAGCCGCATCAAAAACAGGACAGGATTGGACATGTACGCGTCGAAATGAACCGTCCTTAAGTTCCATATAATATACATTCACAAGGCAGTCAAATCCCTTCTCGAATCCCGCAGCCTCCTTCGCAGTGGAGGCACCCATACAACGAAATGGAAAGAAGGCAGCAATATGCCTGCCGATATGAACGTGAAGGAACAATCGTACATGGCATCCCAGATTTAAGTCTTGCTAATGGTTCTGTGCAGCGACACATTAAATTTCTCTCATCATTAGACCATTTACTTCATGACGCAGATTCAACTCCATTTTCAAGTTTGTTTTCCTTCTCAACCTGACAAAGTGGGACATTTTCAGCTTGAAATCAGTTTTGTCACCATGTTTATTTTTCATTTACAGAGTTGTATGCATTAGTGCCCGTGTAATTTCTGATGAATTTATTGTAAATATATTCATTTTTTAAATGTAATTTTATTTGTGATTGGAAATTGCATTGTACTCATACACTGTCAGACAAAAAAATGAACTGTTGTGATCTGTTTTTGTTCAAGGTACAACTTTTTGTGATGTACACTACAGTGTTCACACCCGAACCCCAGAGCACAAGTATGTATTATTTTGGTTAGAAAAGGTACTGAAATGGTCCAAAACTGGCAAAGGGACCATTTCGGTACCTTTTTTTTTTTAAACAATGTGAGGGTACAAACAGGTGCTCGGCATACATGTTTGTAACGTGCCTGAGTTGAGTGCACAAAAGTAATGTCCCGGTGAGTTCGGCTGAACCACCGTGTTGAAATAGTCTTAATTAACAAAATGCCACAAAATCTATCATGGCTGACAACATATCAACATTCATCTTCTCTAATGGAGATGATGGTTAAAGTGCTGATGTGATGTCTCCTATTTTGTGGTGAATGGCGTTACAACATTACAACTTAAGCGCAATTCCGTGTGGTAGGTGAAGCAATTTTTTTGGTTGCCCATCCCTGACCAAGATAGTACTGCTTGTGGGCAAATATGCACCCGAAGGTCCACATTTGTCTACAAAGGATACAAATATGTACCTTATGCTTTGTATTATTTGTGTTCTAACAGTACGAATTGTAAGGGTCCGACTATGTACCCCGTTTAAGGGTTACATAGGTGTACCCTTGTGGGTACTGCAGTACTGACAAGCCATTGGACCCATAAAGGTACAAATTCAGCACCTTCTTTTTCTGACAGTGTATGAGAGCAGTCATGAGTGTCTGTGGTTACTCCTCAAAAAAGGGAATCATACTTCTCAAGACTAACTTAACTTGCATTTCAGCACAAATCACCCAAAGTTTTTTTTTTTGGGGGGGGGGGGAGATGCGATTTCCTGAAGAGTGAACCGACAGTACATATTTTTTTTTCAATCCAGACTCGTCCGGTTGATGTGTGTAGTTATTCTTAACTTTGCTCCCTGATTTCATACTTCCTGTGCTTCATTGTGTGTTTATGGACATCATTTAAAGTAGCTTGCAATAATGTCGTAGCACGCTGTTACTGTCAATAGAAGAGTTTTTTTTTTTTTTTTTTTTTGAATCTCAACAGTTGAAGGTTTCCTGAGGGTTAAAGGTTCACATATGGAGGAATTGATTACACAGAGAGAATACAGATTTCGGAGCCATAAAGAAATAATGGAAAAGGAAAAAAAAAAAGGCCATTGATGAAATATTACCTTTATAGTCTCTCAATCTCATCTCATCATTCCCTAAGATATTACAAATGCATTCAGAATGTTTCACTTAGTTTGGTGTCTCGTGACTGTGCAAATCTGTCCAGAAAAACACTTCCCGTTTTTGATCCTTTATAGAACTCCCAACGCCGAGGAGAATGTTATTCATGTTTTCAGGCAGGGGAATCGTTCATGTGGAGACAAGTTTACAGAGTGTGATGAGGATAAAGGATCTGCACTTAAAACATAAATGGCTACACAATACATAAAATGTAAAGTATGACCTTTATAAATATTTATTGTGCGAGTGATTCATGACGGCCGAGGTTGAAGGAATGACGGTTACAACAATGTTCCTCATTTGATTTGACTTCTTTTAGACGCCGTCAACATATTATGGCCCATTCGTGACCCCCACTCACAAAAACTCCTGCTGAAATTGAAGCACAAGTACAACTGGGACGGACGCATTCAGAAAATAATCCTGTATAAATTGGCAGCAAATTTCATCGATCCCGTGTTAGCACACGCGGTTGAGGTCTGTGTAGCCAGTCTGCCTCTTCTCTTGACAGTAAGAAAAGAGTCTGTATTCCAAAGGACATGCATAATCTCGTATTGCAAGACGGAAAGCTCCTTTAAAATGTTTGGTGAACTCAAATATTTAGATAAAACGTGTAAAGCACAAAATTTCCCACCCTGTTTTATTTTATTCTTAGGCACACATTTCCCAATCTACAGTGTTGTGTCTAAAGTGATGTGCTGGCAAAAAAAGAAAAAAAATGGATTCAGTAAATAGGATAAGAAAAAAAAGGAGAAACACTTGTCTTAATCCTGACAGAGGATGGAAGTCACGTTCACTGTGGATCTTCCTCCACTTCCTGCGGCGACGCAGGCCACTCGGGCTCCTCTATGCCTTCCTCGGGATCCTCGCCTTCAACCAGCTCCTCTCTGCTGCCGGGCTCTTCTTCCTCCTCATGAGTCGCCAAAATGGCCTCCGTTACACTGTTCACGTGGACCGCCTCTGCTCCTTGGCCCTGCTTCTGGTCGTCCTCTGCGATCACTTTCTTCCACATCTCGTGGTTCTCCAGCAGGTGATGGGTGATCTGACAGAACACTTTCCTCCTCTTCTTTGCTGCTTTCTCTAAAACAAACAAAAACATAACTGATTAAACTCAAAATGCAGGGACGGCCACAGGGCATGCATCTAAACCCAGTTTAAATGAAATCGTTAAGTACCGATTGAATGACTTTGCATCTGGAAAGGCCTAACGTCTTCAAGTAAATAAAGAGATACAATTTTTTTTAGGTGTTACTCAAAAGACGTTTGGCTAGGTTTACGTCACACTTGACCTTTAGTGTTGCAGCAAAACCACATTGTCTTACGTGATGACTCCGAGCCGGTGGATGTGTCTTCCTCTGCCGTGTCTTCCTCCTCCTCCTCCTCGTTCTCTGTGCTTTCAGGCTCCTCGGCGTCCGTCTTAGGTTCCACCCATCGTCCCGGCATGAGGCAAGCCGAGTCGTAAGAATTGCACAAGGGTCCCACGATGTGCGTGATGAATGACTCTTGGAGTTTGGCCAACTGCGGTGCGGCTCGGTCCATGAAGGGGCTGATGGGGAGACCCAGATTGGCCTCTTCATCACCCTACACGCAGTGTGACCTTCATTAGCACAAGGTTATGGCCAGAAATATGCAGCACTGATCAAGGGGGGTTCTCCAACCTGTTCATAGAACTCATTGACAATGCCCTCTGTCCACTGTAGATGGAGGTCCTTACACTTTAGTGGCCCGTTGATGTCAGCCAGCTTTATGCACATCTGGCAGACCAGCAACCTGTCATTCTCATTGGACCAATCGATGCCTGATGATGGATCATCCCCCACCTAGGGAATCAATAGAAAAATAAATAAGGTGACTGATTAAATGTGACACCCCTGTTACTTGCTATATTTTTAACCCTACACATTCAGTACATTTTATGATCTCCCCTGTTTTGTCTTGGTAGCATCAAGTTGAGTATTCCACTCGGTAAATTGACAACACAATGACGTGCGTACCACATGCAACATTTAAGTAAATGTACACCAGATAATTTATCACTGCAATGGAAGCGTACAAATGTGGTTTCTACTGTCAATGCAAAGTCAACAGGCGTACGAAGAGCTGACATAATGTCATAACGTGCACAGTGTAAAAAAAAAAGAATCCAGTCCATGTTGTGCATAAATTCAAAGAGCGCTACAGTGTTATATCACGTGCAGCTGTCACATCAAACACAACTTCTTGAGCTAAAAAGATTCACATACTGTATCCGTGTGTGTGTGCGTGTGTATTCATCGTTCGGTAATTTATACAGCTACAATTTGGCAGAAGTAGTTGAGTATGTCTGCCTCTCAGTTCTGACGTTCCAGGTTTCAATCTCAATTCTGGCCTTCCTGTGTGGAGTTTGCATGTGCTCCCTATGTTTCGTGGCTTTTTTTCTCCAGGTACCCCAACTTCATCACACATTCCAAAAACATGCTTATTAGGTTCTAAATCATCCATCATTGTGAATGATTGTATGCCTGCGGTGGACTGGCAACCAGTTATCCAATACGTGATATCCCCAAAACTTTTCAAAAATGCACTTTGGTTGTTAACATCCAAAGCATGAATACCTTTGCATTAAACTCTGCAAGAAAATCAAAGTGCTTCTTCAAATCTGTGGCCAGTATGGCCTCAATGACCAGGAAACGGAATCGCTTGAACTCCCTGTGGTCCAAGTTGACGAGGAAGTTGAACTCCGGTCGGGACAACAAGAGGTTCCAGGCTGAGGCAGCGTGGTGGTTTTCCAGAACCGAACGGTCATTGTAGAGCACCGCCTGGACAGACACAAAACCCTGACACTTTACAACACTTACAAACATACTAAGCTGGTCCAGTTTATTTTAAATTCAAGTATATTTAATATATACTAGAAATTATTTCATTGATAATGTTGTAGGAAGGAGGGGAGATATTGACACTAACAGTTTGTTTTGATTATTTCACATGTAGACAAAAATGTCTAATTTCATAGTTTATAAAGATTGAAGATCTAAAACAAGCTTTGATGCTTATCTGCACACCTCTTGGCAATTTTGAGTCTTCAACTAAGCCAACATTGTCTCTTTATGGGATTCCACGCAAACATGCGGAGAACATGAAAAGTACGTGTCGAAAGATGTGAGGCTGAGATTCAAATCCGGAACCTCTTATTTATGAGACAGATATGTGAACCACTATGACACTGTGCTGCCTGGTCTATTTATGAATTTATAACTATTTTGTCAACATTTCAAAAAGGACAGCAAATATGATTCTGTGCTGAAAAGTTGGTCACAATTACTTGTATTGTACTGCTTTGCAAATTTGCTGTTTACACATGATGGCAGCTGACGATTAAAAATCTAACAACATTTCGGCTTCTTTTTAGCAATTATAAACGTAGTAACCGCTGTCCCTGAAAGGGTGAATGTGAGGCAATTACCCCCAGCGCGCAGATTTCTCCAGCTAGACGATTTACTTAAAACAACCTGAGTAAATAAAGTAATCTACTGTATTTATTCAATATTCAGCGCAAATTTACTCAAATTGGTTTTACGGCGCAGGAGTAAGTAGTGACAGTCTCTATTTTCGCCCTTCGGGGGTGCATTCCCCACAGACACTCTGGCTTTCTCTTGCTGTCCGTCAACGTGCATGGCCATACGACCGTTTCCATTCAAACTATACCTGTGGGGCGCTGGTAGCCACGAGGAAAGCGTTGGTCCGCCCGGGGTGGTCGTAGTCGTGCATGGCAGCAGCCACGTAGAGAGCCATAAGCTCCAGAGCCGGTATGAGGCCAGACAAGCAGCCATAACCGTTCTCTGACACAGTGTATGTCTTTGACACCAGGAAGCCCATATGACTGTGAGTTATTCCACTGTCGGAGTCTGGCCACAGGGGAAGCAGACAAAGGGAGTAAGGTGAAGAACAGGATGCCAAGGTTTGCACACACACACGTATTGTGCTTCAAGGGTACAGATTCTTAAAAACACACGTAGACGTGCATACAGAGAAGGAAAAAAAAACACTTTTTTGAACCCTCAAATCCACTCGTGCTTGGATCAAAGGGAAGGAGTTAGTAAGGCATACGAATGAGGGTATGAAAATATGGTTGTGAGGAAATTCTAATCTGCCTGCAATTTCATGCTGTTCAGGACTTCAAATAGTTTTGCTATGTGAATGGAAGTGCCCTAAGCTTGAATAAGATAAGGCAAACTTTGAATAGGGGGGAAGAAAAAACAGACTCCTGAAGGTTTCTCTCAAAAACATAAATGAGATGCCTTATAAGTTAGGCTCTTGGTAGAAAGAAAAAAATGTGTGTGTGAGTGTGTTTTATATATATTATATATATATATATATATATATAAAACACACACACACACACAAACAATGCTTCTTGAGCTAGTAGCTAATTCATCATAGCATGTTTTAATGTGACCATACCCCTTTGAAAATGACAAATGTGTTCATAACAACCACAAATGTTATTATGATCACGGGTGAGGACGGAGAGAACATGTAAAGTCAATACATAAGGCCACAGCGCGGATTTGAACCCCAATTTGAAATCTGTACAGGCCAATTGAAAAAAGTAATGCGCTAATTGAGTAATAATTTATTTTTTTAGATCACGTAGGTGACATTTGTAAGCTTTACGTCAGCTGCGGCTTCCTCACACATTCTTGAAGCATGCACTTGTGCTTTATATATGAGTGTGAGTAGAAATAGTTATTTGATCATATGTGCCCTGCAGTGGACTGGCGACCATTCCCGCGTGCGCCCCACCTCCCTCCCAAAGTCAGCTGGGACAGGCTCCAGCTCACCCATAACCCTACTACGAACAAGCGCTATAACGCGTGATCCCCAAAGACAACAAATGACATTGTCAACATGTGCGGTGCATACCGATGGGACGCACCTGAGTCACTAGCAGAGCTGTGGTCAGCAATGAAGTTGGGTAGGCCCGGAACCGGTTGTGTGGTGAGGTACCAGACTGCATGGAGCACATCTGTGGCGTGCACCCGATTGTGATCTGAGTCAGGGAACAACAGTCAACAGTTTATCATTCTCCACCAGGGGGCAGTGTGGAGTTGCTTATCCCTCTAAAAAAATTATAGTTGAACCCAATTAAGGATAACAAACAATGCAATCTTTCTGAGTGGATTGATTTGGTTTTGGTGAAGGTCCTGAATGTAACATAAGCCGAGTGGATTTGTACAAGCTTACATGGGATGTCTCTGTAACCATTCTCAAGGGCATGGAAGTAGTTCATGAATTCTTGGATCGGAATCTTGAAGGTCTGAAACAAACCAGTGTCCTCAAAAAGCCTGTAAGAGACCTGAGAGGGTAAAAAAAAGAAAAAAGAAAAAAAAAAAGAACATAATGGCACCAGGTTTCATCCAATTTTGATATTGCCTGCCCTCATCGGGTCACTGGTGAGCTGGAGTTTATCCCAGCCAAGTCTGGGCAAGAGGTGGGGTACACCCTGGATTGGTCGCACATTGAGACAAACAACCCATTTACACCTATGGGCAGTTTTAGAGTTCAAAATTGGCATGTCACACATGACTTTGGAAAACTGCAATGCAAACTCTGTACAGGAGTGCCTGAGCAGAGACTGGAAACCAAGTGCATCCAGATTGCGAGGCAGATGTGCGGGCCCCTATACCACCGAGCTGCCCATATCACATCAGCAGACGCAGCACAGGTGGGGGGAGAAAAAAGTTTGTACGCTTCTTGTACTCTGAAAGGTTTGCAAAAGTCACATTCAAACACTTTCAATATAAATTCAAGAATTGATAGCACAAAGCAGCTGTAGCATATTTCATATTTATGTGAATCATTGCCAAAATATTTACATTTATTTCACAAAATGTTCTGATTATTGCCTCATAATTAGCACAGGTTCAATTCCATGTAATGCTGTTCTACAACTTAAAAGAACATATTCAGCCCATTAAAAGTAAATTCAATCTTATCGAAAAATCCCCAAAAATTCAGATTTGACAGCATTGAGAACCAGTTTATATTGACCACTGGTGGTTAGCACGTCTGCCTCAGGGTTCAAATTTTGGCTCTGGGTTCTCCGTGTGGAGTCTCTATGTTCTCCCCGTGCTTTCATGCGTCTTCATTGGGTTCTTGGGCTTCCTCCCATAACGTTAGAAACACACGTCATCGGTGTCAATGTCTACAGTATATGTGCTCAGCAATTAGGTGGCAACCAGTCAAGGATGTACTCCCGCCTCTCTTCCAAAGTCAGCTGTGGTAGGCTTCAGCACACATAACTCTCATGAGATGGATTCATGGTGACCCCTCGAGTGACTGTCTCACCTGACTTAGGATTCGTCCACATTTGCCGTTAGTCTTCTCCATCAAGGCGAAGATAGGAAAGTTCCAATTGTTGAGCTGACCCATCATCGGCTCTAAATCTTCCATTAATAGCGGCTCTGGGGCCAGAATGGGTTTGTCCTGTGCATGTGACACATGATGAAAATGGGGCGTTCATGACAGAAAGACTGCGTTGTCCACAGATGTCGCCCTGAGGGCCATTTAAGGGGTCTTTATGGCTTCCCGTCTTACCTCAGGAGGTATTAGCGGGTGGAGAATGACATTCTGGGAGGGGTTTTTTCCTTCTTCTGTGTCCTCCTCCGTGTGTGCTACATCACTGCTGTCACTGTGGTTGGCTTCGTGGGTGCTGTCATAGTCTGATGACACGACCACTTGATCCTCTGCTGTTACAAGAGGCATTAACAAACAACACATCAGAGCTGGGTCCTCTTCTAATATCAAAAAAAATATATTTTTTAAATATATTTAAAAAATTTACTTTTTTTTTTTTGAGGGGGGGCGGGGATCATCAAATTATTGGGATGGAATAACATGAACAGTGCACTGCAATGCGAATCTAAATTGTATAATGTTGTAGCTTAGTATAGGAATAATTGTCATAGTACGTAGATTTATAGTTCCCATAGCTGTCGAATGATAAGTCTCTACAGTTGCAGCCCAAGCCCATCATAATTCATATTTACCCTGATAATTGCTTTCAGTTAAACTGATAAAGTGGCAAAACTTGGTTAAGAGGTGTTCGTGCAACCAAATAATTCACACTTAGAACATTGGCCAGGGCTGTCTTGAGAAATAGTAGGATTAATTTTTGGACATGGAACTTTTTACCAATGTTAAAAAGCGATGAATTTGTAATTTTATTGATGTTGCCGTCAGTCTTTTGTGACCTTCTTGCACTTGCAGTTGTACAAATTGCACCAGAAAAGTTGTACAAGAAACGTTAACATTGCAACAATGGGGTCAGTTCAAAAGAAGTTTTGGATGACAGAAAGCGGTAAGGTGAAAATATGTTCGACAAATGTGATACACCCCAGAGAAGTGTTGTCAACACGTGTGCCGAATTTGAATAATTAAAAGTATTTTGTACGTAAAATGATGTTTTAAAATAAATGTGAACAATCCAGGCGTTCCGCTGAATGTACTGAAAACACACCACGCTGAACTGTCAATCAAATTTCTGAACCATACATCTTATTTATGTCTTCAAAATCCCCATATGTTTGAGCTTCCGTTGACTTGAATACAGTATCTACAGTTCCCTCGCTACTTTGCGATTGGGTTATTGCAGATTCACCTATCGCCGATTTTCATTTGTGATCATAAATTCGTCTGTTGCAGTTTTACCTCGCTATTTTGCTATTGCTCGCTCAGAGGATTTTTCCGAACGCAAACTACAGCCAGAAATTGTGAGCCAAGGACGAGGATGAGAAAACGTTAGCTAAATACAGTATATTGTTCTCAGTCTGAATTCATGTTCCATGGTCTTTATGTAATTTTTTTTTCCCCCCAGGAAAAATGTCATAGCTTCAATATAAATAAAAGTAGGCTGCACTATGCTGAGATCTCAAACGCTGTTCCAAGCACACTGATTTCGAGGTGAAAATGTCACCTTTACAGAGCGTACCTGAGCGTGGTATCCTGTCTCCCTTGTCTATTGAGCCCTCCCCGTGGCTCAGTCTGATGTATGGTCTTCCACAACTGTAGACAGCAAGAATCAGATGTTGAACACATTTTTGTCATATTAAATATCTATATATATATATAGATATTAAATATCTATATATATATCATATAAATATCTAAATATTGTCAACACAGTGCTTGGAGAAACCAATTAAAATCCAACGCAAGTCTTCAAATAGGCTGGGTACATTCAGCCGAATGCACTAGGGGGGGCGGGGGCAGACCGAGAATAGTACACGTGTTTGCATGTCGTAAAAAAAAGCGTACAAGCGTTTACTGTCAGCAGCTGAGCCGAAGAATTGGGACGGATTGCATTCAATATATCTGTCTTGGATGTCAAAGCACTTGGAAGACGTTGACAGGAAAAACTTAATGAGGGATCCCTTTAAGTATTTTTTTTCCTGTCAACGCTTGAACAAACACTGCTTGTGCAGATGTTTCGAGAAGGGAGAAAAAAACAAGATCAGTGACTATAATGGATGGCCATACAAATAAATTAAAAAGGACAGGCAAGCATACTCTGATCTTGGTGCTGCTCGGGAATGACACCCAAGAATTACGAGTCCATTCAAAATATAATAAATCATGACGGTGAGCCTCTCAATCGGCTCCCAAGTGTTTCCTCATTGTGGCTATTGTCAATCTGCAGGTGTTTCCAATTCAAATACCTTGACCCAAATGTTGTAAAACCTCCTGGATTTGCCTGCCGTTTGAGCACGGTGTCGCAAGAAGCACAAAGGCATGCAGTGTGGCTCCCTATCTCCCTCCGATAAATTGTCTGGCGAGTTGCACCGCGCCCACCTGAGACTAATGGTTCCGAGGCCCAAACAAAGAGTTCTGTTGTGTCTGCGCGGCCAGGTCGGACCGCCGTGCGTAATGTCTAGCAGGTGCGGAATATAAAATAGTTTTGATAGTTTGGCGGGCGAACAGCTAGCGCCTTATTGTCAATGGGGTCCCCGCGAGGCAGGAGTGCTTGGTGTAAAAGGTTTGACTTTTAATGAAAGTTGAAAAACTGGCAGCCGTGCTTCCTATTCTGCTAATGCAGCAGAATAAGCTCGGCGACTGACATTGAGGCCTCAGCGCAGAATGAAAACAAGAACGGCGGACGTGTTCGCGTGCGGCCAGGTTTCAGGTGACTTTGCTTTGATCGCAAGAGCGTCCTGAATCTGCACGGGCATCTGTGAATAGTGCAAGTCAGCCTGTCATTACATTTGTTGTGTGGCACATTATGGACTAAGTCTACATTTCCCCAAAACTGCACCTTGGCAAATTAGATAATAGTTCTGTCTGGATAGCATGAAGTAAAAAGAGTGCGTGACAAAAGTTAACTATTATCCACATGATATCATCATTTATATTGTCCTCCCATGGTGTTTGATAGAATGCTTTTGAAGCATCCCGGCGAGCCTTTACGCCCTCCCCTCACTCTCCACTGAAGTTTTAATGTCAAACCAATCACAACACACTGACAAACTAGCTTTGGTCCGAGGCCCAATCAGACAATGGCCAAGCCACAATAAACACCGTAGCCATTACTTCTGCTTCCAGTAATCCACTTTCCCTTTGAGCCAGATGACGCAAAGAAGATAAAGAGCACAGCAGCCGCATGCAGCTGAGCAATGTGGACGAGATTCTCTTCATTCACCATATAATAAAAACATGCATTGCGGCTTTCAGGCCGATGTCATTTCTAATTCTAATTCTATGTAGTCCGCGTAAGATGACATCATGGGGATACGGAGGGGGTAAGGAAAACAGGCCTAATGTCTAATTAAGCTTTTAAAGATGATGATGATGTTGATGAAGCAGAGAGAAGGAAATTGTAGCCACGTGTTCATTTAGTTCCCCCAACAATGCATTCTCCTCAATGACTCAATAAATTAAAAGTCATGATTATGCTCCGATGGCACAGGTTACCTCAAGGCACTCACCTCATTAAGATGATGGAATTCAAGAGTTGAATAAAAAAAAAAAAAAAAGGAGAACCTCAAAGTTTGATCCCGAGTACTTGCAAGTTTAAATAACCTTTACAGCTGACTAAATTAAATAAATACGAGAGCGCTCTCATGCGCAGTCAAGTAAACCCGGAGCCACCTCGGTACACTCCAGTTTTGTTTGTTTTTCGCCAAAATGCGCTCGTGACTGTGTATCCAGTGTGTGTAATAATTGTGGGGTTCTGGTGACAGGGGAGAGCCTGCGGTGTTTGTTTATACTCACACCACCTTAAGTGGTCATAGCTGGAGCCTGCTGCAGTTGAGCCGAGCGGAGCAGTCAAAGTGGGCCCCTGTGCACAAGAGCCGCTCAGTGTGCTTACATTTACAGAATGTGCTCATGTATCGCACAGTCATTGTGTAAACACACCCCAGAGAGGCTGCGGACAACCCACCCCCGCACGTCTTCATCATCGAAGGTCCAATTATCAGATGTGTCTGAAAGATTATCTTGTGGTGTGAAGTGTTGTTAAGAGAGACGCTTCCTCACTGGACAATGGTCAACAAATCAGCATCAATCTATAATTGAATATTTACGATCACAAATCCTTCACTGTCCTTAACAGAGGAAAGTCTTTAATGCCCTAACTTTTACCTTTCCTTCATCTTTTGTGAAAAAGGTCATCAGGTCAAGGAGCGATGAATGAAAATGTGCTTCCGTTTCAAATAAAGTGGACTCTACTTCCCCAAAATGACGTCATCGCGCGACCGTGACACAAGTCTCGAGCGTGGCCCTACTTTTTCCAAAGATGACAATGAATAAGCACTCCTTTCATCCATGTGTGCTCACTGCTCATCATATTTATTTGAATTGGTTGTGGCCAACAGTGAGAATCACTTAAGAGCCTATATTGAAGCTGATGTGAAAATTACTGCATGCACAAAGTAGTCTTTTTAAATTTTGTAGTTGGCATTTTTTTTTTTTGTGCAAATTGTGTGTGATGGGTGAAAAACAAAATCATGATAGAGTTTCTGATCATGTGTGGGGTCTCTCACATGTGCCCACCCTGTTTTAGATGGACAAGAAAAACAAAACAATGCACACAAAATTCAGATAGACTACTGGAAATGTGAAAGCTCAGTGAATACACTGACATGGAGGCTCAAGTCTGCTACAAACTGTTGGGTTTTGTTCTGATTTTGAAAAGATTTTTCACCCAAAAACGTATATATGTAAATCTGTTCAGGGTCGTAGATCATAATATTGCATTGGTTTTTTTTTGGTATGTGTTTTTTTAATGAAGCAAACATGTAAAAACACATTGTTTGGTATGGCCTGTGACATTTTTAGGAGTACATCTTGTCATCCGATTATCATTTCTGTGTGCAAGCCAACCACGGGAGTAAAGTCAATTCAGACATAAATGTCAAAGCATAAAAATGCATCAAAATATGTAACAAATGCATATTACAATTAGATTATTGCACAATAAATGAGAGTTGTGCATAATGTAAAAAAAAAACAAAACAAATAATAGAGGAAATAATAAAAATGATGGTCAACTTTTAACTGCGCCCTCGTCGTTTTTTGCCCTCCTTAGTTTATGTTCTCTCTGAGAAGTCGTTTTTGTCTGGCGCTTTGGAAAGAACTGATCCAAGAACACTTGCTTTTGTCGGCTTTTAATAATCCTTCGAAAATGTCCAAGGCAAACATCAGCAT